AGGTTTCCTGAGGTATGTTACACCTGATTGCTTCCCTGGTCTAAATTTACAGAAATGTTAAGCGTGATGAAAATGTTTCCTGATGTAGGTGGAAAGGTGAGAGCACATTGTTCTCTTGTCTGTTTCGACGTTCCTGTGGCTTATGAGTCACCCATCATTTAGTGCAGCCTTCCTTCTCCAGCTGCTTGCCAGTTTTTGAACCACTTTCGACTAAGACACCAAACAGCAGCTTTAGGGAAGGAGATTTCGTGTCTAGTGGAAAAAGCACCATGTCTTTGTGGCGAGATCAGTGCAAGGGCTTCTTTCACGCTTCACTTATTGCTTTCCTTGTAGCAACACCCAACACTGCGCTCACAAGAGCATGTTAAATATTTTCCTTGGAATGCTTTGTCCTCTGCTGACGTTGTGGTTAGTTAATCTTGCTTTCTTTCATGTTCATGGAACCTGTTCTTAATTACAAGGTTTGAATGAAAAGTAATGCCTCCACCTTCATAACACCTCAACAGATGGCAGTTCTAGTATGCGGCAGGTACTGGCTTGTTCAGTAGACTCTCCTCTACAGTTCCATTTTGGCAGGAAGCCTTAGAATTGAACAGTTGTCTTGTTAAAGTGCAAAGTATGGAACCCTGTGCAGACGTTCGGTCAATGCAACTTAAGCAACGTGCAGTGATTCAATTCTTGACAGCAGAAATTGTCACCTCAAAGGAGATTCATCAGAGAATGCAACATGTTTATGGGGATTGTGTTGATGTGAGTACTGTGTGTTCTTGGGCGAGTCAGTTTAATACTAAATATACCCAAATGTGAACACTGGTGGAGTTTGAGGAAAATAGATATTGACATTTGGGAGTTGCAGTTGCTGAGATTTATAGTTCACTTATAATCAAAGAGCATTCTGAACCCCACCAACCATTTGTGTCCAATTCTGGGCACCACAATTCAAGAGAGATATTGACAAGCTGGAATGTGTCCAGAGGAGGGTGACTAAAATGATCAAGGGTCTGGAGATCAAGCCCTATGAAGAGCGGCTTAAGGAGCTGGGCATGTTTAGCCTGAAGAAGAGAAGGCTGAGAGGAGACATGATAGCCATGTATAAATATGTGAGAGGAAGCCACAGGGAGGAGGGAGCAAGCTTGTTTTCTGCTTCCCTGGAGACTGGGACACAATGGAACAATGGCTTCAAACTACAAGAGAGGAGATTCCACCTGAACATGAAGAAGAACTTCCTGACTGTGAGAGCCGTTCAGCAGTGGAACTCTCTGCCCCGGAGTGTGATGGAGGCTCCTTCTTTGGAGGCTTTTAAACAGAGGCTGGATGGCCATCTGTCAGGGGTGCTTTCAATGCAATATTCCTGCTTCTTGGCAGGGGGTTGGACTGGATGGCCCATGAGGTCCTTCCTCCAAGTCACTAATAAGGATGCTGGACAGAACTATGCCCAGGAGTGAACCCTCTTGATGGCATTACTCTAATTATTTCTTTCCAGGATGAAGAGGAACCATTGAGAAGAAGCATCCTTTGGGTTTGGTCACTTGACCAATTACAGATTTACCTAATTGTAGTATTGCCTGGATCACATTTGACTAGTTTGCTTGCAAGAAGGTCATGGGGGACTTTGTCGAAAGCCTTCCTGAAATCAAACTACAAGAAAGGAGATTCCATCTAAACATTAGGAAGAACTTCCTGACTGTGAGAGCCATTCAGCAGTGGCACTTTCTGCTCCGGAGTGTGATGGAGGCCCCTTCTTTAGAAGCTTTTAAACAGAAGCTGGATGGCCATCTGTCGGGGGTGCTTTGAATGCAATTATCCTGCTTCTTGGCAGAGGGTTGGACTGGATGAGGTCTCTTCCAACTCTATGATTCTGTGATTCTAGAACATACAGCTGGATACCACACAACACCCCAGTGATTCTGGCCATGAAAGCCTTCGACAACAATGAGGACTTTTTGGCCCCAAAGCCTTGCCATGGGTCTGGAAATGGTTGGCAAGATCTTCCAAAAAGATAGGAGAGGGGTCATCAAATGGTCAGGAGGAAGGCAGTTCAAATGGGCTTTGGGACAGCCCTTCATAGCAACCATTTGTCAAAGCTAACCCTCAAAGAGTGGGAGCATTTGGAGGAAAAGTGTGAAGTCACAGGGCAGTGAGAACTAACCAGGGAGCCCCACAATTGCCCCCATCTCCCTCCACGTTGCTTTTCAGGTGAAATGATTCCCAATCCAGCCTCCTGCCCAAAGAATATGCGCAAACATCCAAACAGATTCAGAATCACAATCCTATGCTCAAACCTCTAAAGCTTGCTGGTTCTCTCCTATCTTGTCTAAAGCCATGTAATATATATAAACAAGTCGAATAAACTGTGTAAACCTGTTTGGATGTTTGCGTATATTCTTTGGGCTTTACATAGACGGTAAAATCTGTGATAACAGAGGTAAACCTTGTCTGTCAAATATTGATAAATACAAACATACCTAGATAGAGAGATATTCCCAAAAGGAATATAAAAATGCGGAATGTGTTTTAGCTTAATAAATAGCAGAGTTGATACGAAGCTTCCTGATTGTTCTCCTTTATTTATCCTTACATATCTATATCTATCTATACACATAATAAAAGTGAAAATATGCATGTGCGTATGTGGCACAGGTGTCCCTTTACAACACACAGCTGAGGAGCCAACAATGGCCCTCCCTCCACTGACATTGCAGGTTATAGTGAGCACCGCATCCCAGGGTTCCTTTCCCTCTCCATTGGGGTGGAATTTGCGTGACCCCACCCACTGCCTCTCCCTTAACCCTTTCCTACCCTTTCCTATGTTCCTTTCTCTCTCCTTGGTGTGGAATTTGCATGACCCCACCCACTGCCTCTCCCTTTACCCTTTCCTACCCTTTCCTATGTTCCTATCTCTCTTCTTTGGTGTGGAATCTGCACCACCCCACCCACTGCCTCTCCCTTAACCCTTTCCTATGTTCCTTTCTCTCTCCATTGGTGTGGAATTTGCATGACCCCACCCACTGCCTCTCCCTTAACCCTTTCCTACCCTTTTCTATGTTCCTTTCTCTCTCCATTGGTGTGGAATTTGCATGACCCTGCCCACTGCATCTCCCTTAACCCTTTCCTACCCTTTCCTATGTTCCTTTCTCTCTCCATTGGTGTGGAATTTGCATGACCACACCCACTGCCTCTCCCTTAACCCGTTCCTACCCTTTCCTATGTTCCTTTCTCTCTCCATTGGTGTGGAATTTGTGTGACCCCACTCACTGCCTCTCCCTTAACCCTTTCCTACCCTTTTCTATGTTCCTTTCTCTCTCCATTGGTGTGGAATTTGCATGACCCCACCCACTGCCCCTCCCTTAAACCTTTCCTATGTTCCTTTCTCTCTCCATTGGTGTGGAATTTGCATGACCCCACCCACTGCCTCTCCCTTAACCCTTTCCTACCCTTTCCTATGTTCCTTTCTCTCTCCATTGGTGTGGAATTTGCATGACCCCACCCACTGCCTCTCCCTTAAACCCTCTCCAACCCTTTTCTATGTTCCTTTCTCTCTCCATTGGTGTGGAATCTGCATGACCCTGCCCACTGCCTCTCCCTTAACCCTTTCCTACCCTTTTCTATGTTCCTTTCTCTCTCCATTGGTGTGGAATTTGCATGACCCCACCCACTGCCTCTCCCTTAAACCCTCTCCAACCCTTTTCTATGTTCCTTTCTCTCTCCATTGGTGTGGAATCTGCATGACCCCACCCACTGCCTCTCCCTTAACCCTTTCCTACCCTTTTCTATGTTCCTTTCTCTCTCCATTGGTGTGGAATTTGCATGACCCCACCCACTGCCTCTCCCTTAAACCCTCTCCAACCCTTTTCTATGTTCCTTTCTCTCTCCATTGGTGTGGAATCTGCATGACCCTGCCCACTACCTCTCCCTTAACCCTTTCCTACCCTTTTCTATGTTCCTTTCTCTCTCCATTGGTGTGGAATTTGCATGACCCCACCCACTGCCTCCCCCTTAAACCCTCTCCAACCCTTTTCTATGTTCCTTTCTCTCTCCATTGGTGTGGAATCTGCATGACCCTGCCCACTGCCTCTCCCTTAACCCTTTCCTACCCTTTTCTATGTTCCTTTCTCTCTCCATTGGTGTGGAATTTGCATGACCCCACCCACTGCCTCTCCCTTAAACCCTCTCCAACCCTTTTCTATGTTCCTTTCTCTCTCCATTGGTGTGGAATTTGCATGACCCCACCCACTGCCTCCCCCTTAAACCCTCTCCAACCCTTTTCTATGTTCCTTTCTCTCTCCATTGGTGTGGAATCTGCATGACCCTGCCCACTACCTCTCCCTTAACCCTTTCCTACCCTTTCCTATGTTCCTTTCTCTCTCCATTGGTGTGGAATTTGCCCGACCCCACCCATTGCCATTCCCTTAACCCTTTCCTACCCTTTCCTATGTTCCTTTCTCTCTCCATTAGTGTGGAATCTGCATGATCATGCCCACTGCATCTCCCTTAACCCTTTCCCAAAGTTGGGAGACTGACTCAAGATAATGGAAGCTGTAGTTCACCCAGCATCAAGGCAGAGCATTGTGACCCCCACCGACAATGGACCTAGACCACACTTGACACACAGAACCCCCATGACCAACTTAACCTACTGGAGGAGTTTGAGGGGACCCACCATGATGGGATCTGTAGTTCACTCTGTAGCTAGAGACCCCACTAATGATGCATCTAGAGAGCAAACTTGCCCAACATGGCAAACTTTAACCACTAATGGGTTAACCTGGCATGATGTGCAATGTAGTTCACCCACAAACTTACACATTTTGCAAAATAAAAAATGACTTTTTCAAATAGCCTGGGCAATGCTGGGTACTCAAGTTAATAGGGAATAAAGAAGGAGAATCAAACCGGTTTAACTGTGTTTAGTTGTCAGGTCAGGAGCTGACTCCTCCATCTTTTTGCAGGCCAGAAGCTTCGTTTATTTCCTGTTACAGCTGCATTTTCCTCTCTTGCAGTGATTTCCTCTCTGGCTTTGCCAGCAAACCGAAGCTGCCCTGCTCTCCAGACTCCCAGAATGTCAAACCTGGAAGGGGCAAGATACCCACCATTGCACCCCAGTTCTCCCAGTCTGGACCCCAGCAAACCAGTCGCCCTGGTTCTTCCGGATCGTCAGCACGAAGCAGGCAAAGTAAGATCCCAAACGGTTGGGTGGGTTCAAATCATGCAGCAAAAGCTTGGAAACTATACTTTTTGGTCATTCACCATGTCCTACTCCAGGCACGGGCTAACTTTGGCCCTCCAGGTGTTTTGGACTTCAACTCCCACAATTCCTAACAGCCGGTAGGCTGTTAGGAATTGTGGGAGCTGAAGTCCAAAACACCTGGAGGGTCAAAGTTTGCCCATGCCTGGTCTACCTCCTTGTGATTAATGGGCAAGATATAAATACCCTGTGCAATATATGTATGTATGTATGTATGTATGTAAGTAAGTAAGTAGGCAGGCATCAGGTAAACTTCTTTGGAGAGGGCATTGCACAGATGGTTTGTCACCTGTGAAAAAGCACTTTCTCTTGAAGACATCCACCTCCTCTCATTTGCTTTTAGAGACTAAGTAGGTGGAGATGGATGGAGATACGCCTCTTCAGGTAAGTATTTTAATTCTGCTTTCACAATGAGAAAATGGCAGCGTTGGGATTAGAACGCGATTGATTTCCAGACATTTTAAATGTTTTGTTTTGGCATCAAGCAGCAGACTCATTCCGACTCCGGGGTTTGCATCCCCTGTTTATTCCTGATGTCTCTACTATCTGTTTCCTGCAATACGACCTCCATCCAGCCTGGATCAAGCGCGCTGTCAACAAACCCGATCCCCTCCGTCTTTCCTGCCTCACTTCTCTGGCTGTGACATTTCACATTGCAAAGGAAGCGTGTCTGAAATGTGTGAAATGCACACACCACCAGGAAAAGTGTCCCTGAAGCCCACATCCTTTTCACTTTCCAGGGAAATTGGAAATACATCTCCCACATGCACTGCGTCAAGATTTGTGAATCTCCTGCACGCCAAATAAAATTGCTGTGCTTTTATTGTTTTGCTAAGGCTTTAAATCCTCCCTGTCTTAGGCTTTCCAGGTGTTGGTCCCATCTTGGCAAACGCTTGCACTTCCTGTGTTCTCGGTGTCCGTAGGGTTCCTTGTTTAACACAGGAGAGGATTATTAATTCATAAGTGTGAATGACAACAAATCACAGAGTGCAAGATGAACCGTCCTTGCCCTGCACATTTTAACATCTAAAATTCAACTCAGCAGCAGGAGGAAAGAGGAAAAACACAAGACAGTGGCCAAAAAGGAAAGGACATACTGTTGAATTAATGTATCTTCTATATGGCACCAATGAGGTGGATGATGTGTCCATGTTTTTTTTTTATAATAGTTTTTATTAAAGTTTTAAGGATAACATCGAAAGAGGGAGAATATTAAAAAAGATGATAGGAAAGTAGGAAAAAAGTAAGAAATACATCCCCCTACCCCCAAGTCCACCAAAAAATACAAAAATATAAAAGCCACAAAAAAAAAGAGAGAGAGAAAAGAAAAAAAATATAAAATAAAAATTGACTTCCATCTCTCCATCAGGTGTTGTGTCCTCAATGATATTTCCATTATATCCACTTCATAGTGTTCCTCTTATTTATTTATTTCCTTTTCGTAATTTTCATATAGAGTCCAATCTGTCCTCTTTATCGGGTTCCCGGTATTCTTTTTCAAGAAAAAAGTTAATTCGTCCATTTCTCTTATTTCTCTTAATTTCCCTAACCACTCTTCAGTGGTAGGGATATCTTCCTGTTTCCAAAACTTCGCCAATAATATTCTCGCCGCTGTTGTAGCATAGGTAAATAGTCTATCTTCATTCTCATCTAATTGTAATTCCAAATCTGTAAATCCCAATAGATAATATTCTGGTTTCTTCTTAAAAAACTCTCTTCAAGATTTTTTGTAGCTCTTCATGTACTTTCATCCAATACTTCTCTATTTCTTTACACGTCCACCACATATGATAAAAAGTACCTATTTGATGGCAACCCTTCCAACATTTATCAGAAGTATTCTTGTTCATTAAAGATAGTTTCTTAGGAGTGGTGTACCATCTGTGGAACATTTTTATCCAGTTTTCTTTTAAATCTGTTGCATATACATATTTCAATTTTTTGTTCCACATCTGCTCCCACTCCCTAAATTGAATAGGTCTTCTTATATTTTCGGCCCATTTTATCATACATGTTTTCACTTGCTCGCACTCCGTTAGCCAGGTTAATAATGTATTATAAATAACTGAAATTACTTTCTTATTCGTCTTTAATATTTTGTCCCAAATTGACTCTTCCCAGGCGAAGCCTATCTTATTGTCTTGCTTGATATATTCTTTCATTTGCAAGTAGTGTAACCACGTCAAATTACCATTTATTTCTTTCATTTGCTGGAAGGATTTAATTTCCATAGTATTCCTCACTAGTATATCTCTATATGTTGGCCACGCTCTCCAACCTAGTAATCTTCTTTGATGCGCCTCCATCGGTGAAACCCATAGAGGCGTTTTAGTATAAAAATGATTCTTGTATTTCATCCAAACTCTTAATAATGATGCTCTTACAAAATGGTTTCCAATTTTTTTTCCCTTTTTTTCTCGATCGTACCACGTGTAGGCATGCCAGCCTACACGTAGATCATGTCCTTCTAAGTTCAAGCCTTTTCCATTTTCTAATGTCATCCAGTCTCTTATCCACAAAAGGGCACTAGCCTCATGATATATTTTCAGATCTGGGAATCCCAGTCCCCCTCGCGTTTTTTTATCTATTAAATTCAAATATTTAATTCTCGGTCTTTTCCCATTCCACACAAATTTCAATAATTCTTTCTTCCATTTTATAAATTCTGTTTGATTTTTGATTATGGGTATATTTTGAAATAAAAACATGTTTTTATGTTTTGTTTTGGCATCAAGCAGCAGACTCTTTCCGACTCCGGGTCTTGCATCCTCTGTTTATTCAGATATGAAACATTCAGGACAGACAGTTCTGAGAGATGATGGAGAGATTGAAGCCAAAATTTGGGGACTTAGAAAAAGGGAGACATGGGGCCCTAACCTATGTCACAAACATGGTTGGTGGGGACGAGAGAGTGTGCCTTCTTGGTGGTGGCCCCCTACCTCTGGAACGCCCTTCCAAGGGAAATAAGACAGGCCCCATCCCTCCCCTCTTTTCGTAAGAGTTTGAATCATAGAATCAAAGAGTTGGAAGAGACCTCATGGGCCATCCAGTCCAACCCCATTCTGCCAAGAAGCAGGAGTATTGCATTCAAAGCACCCCTGACAGGTGGTCATCCAGCCTCTGTTTAAAAGCTTCCAAAGAAGGAGCCTCCACCACCCTCTAGGGCAGAGAGTTCCACTGCTGAACGGCTCTCACAGTCAGGAAGTTCTTCCTCATGTTCAGGAAATTGGGGCTGACAGACAGGAGCTCACTCCGTCTTGCAGACTTGAACTGCCGACCTTCAGGTCCTCAGGTCAGCAGTTCAGCCAACATAAGGATTTATTTATTTATTTATTTATTTACGACATTTACATGCCGCCCTTCTCACCCCGAAAGGGACCCAGAGAAGCTTACAAGTAAAAAGTAAATACAATATATTATTATTATCATAGCACAATATTAATATTATATGCTACATTGTAATATAACATTATACTGTAATATTATTAGTAATGTTACGTTTAATATAGAATATATAATATAATTTTATTAGTAGTAGTAGCATATTGTATTACATTATAATATTATCAATATTATATGTATATACAATATATTATATTATGTTATGTTATAGAATCATAGAATCAAAGAATTGGAAGAGACCTCATGGGACATCCAGTCCAACCCCTTGCCAAGAAGCAGGAATTCATTCAAAGCACCCCTGACAGATGGCCATGCCAGCTGCTTAAAAGCTTCCAAAGAAGGAGCCTCCACCACACTCCAGGCAGAGAGTTCCACTGCTGAACAGCTCTCACCATCAGGAAGTTCTTCCTCTATGTTCAGATGGAATCTCCTTTCTTGTAGTGTGAAGCCATTGTCCTGCGTCCTAGTCTCCAGGGAAGCAGAAAACAAGCTTGCTCCCTCCTCCCTGTGGCTTCCTCTCACATATTTATACATGGCTATCATGTCTCCTCTCAGCCTTCTCTTTTTCAGGCTAAACATGCCCAGCTCTTTAAGCCGCTCCTCATAGGGCTTGTTCTCCAGACCCTTGATCATTTTAGTCGCCCTCCTCTGGACACATTCCAGCTTGTCAATATCTCTCTTGAATTGTTGTGCCCAGAATTGGACACAATATTCCAGGTGTGGTCTAACCAAAGCGGAAGACTTGGTGGTTTCAACAAATCTTTGAGTGTCCAGTGCTGCTCAGCCCAGACACTGTCCAGTCATGACCTAGCCCCCTTAATATTACCCTGGTCATTTTCCTAACAGGCCCCTGGAAATAGACCATCCCCGCTTTTGTCATTTATCTATTAAAGTAATATACCAAATGCTGGTCTCATCTTATTTTTATCAGTCTGGACCCGGCCTTTTTAATTATCCTGACCCATTCCTTTTCCATGCCCTAACAAATATACATGAAAAGTAGGTAGGATTTTTTCCCTAAATATTTATGCGTTGTTGGGTAATTCCATGCTTATGTTGCTGTTATTGTTATTTTTTGTTCATGTTGTGACTCTGTATGTTTTGATGTTGTTGCTTGGAAACCACCCTGAATCCCCCCAGGGAGATAGAGCGGTATATAACTAAAGTTTTTTATTACTATTATTATTATTATTACAAGATGAGTCTACAGCAGACACTCTGCTGGCTGTTGAATTGGATCACACGTCTATGTGATGTTTCGGTGAATAATGCATGCAGATCCCAGTAAGGTTACCTTTTGCAGCTGGCAGATGGTAATTTTGTCAGCATCGATTGTGTTTAAGTGCAGGCCAAGGTCTGTAGGCACTGCGCCCAGTGTGCCGATCACCACTGGGACCACCTTGACTGGCTTGTGCCAGAATCTTTGCAGTTC